CTCTGCACGCTTGGTTCGAGAAAACGTACGTTATTGCTGCCAATGTATGTAATACATGATGGTGTACGCACAATTCAATTTCAATTCAATTTTAAAAATGCTTTATTCAGTGTAAAATGCAGATACAATGGTACTTGTTATGAAGGGGTGGCGGGTTGGGTGGTTCCGAGAGAAGGTTTTGGCGGCATGTCGGCCTTGAAGTTTGCGGATGAAGTCGGGTATTTTGGGGAGTGAGGCTAGGTCGTGGAGGTACGCGCTGGGATGAAGGTAGTGGAGTTTGAGGATTTTGCGGATTACGTTCCTTTCAAAGCTGTAAATACACTGAAGGCTTGACTGGGTAGCAATTGAGAGGATGGTGGAGGGGTAGGTGAGGACGGGGCGGATGAACGCTTTGTAGGTGTGGAACAGGGTTTTGGGGTGGCAGCCGCCGAAGGATGTGCGGAGTCGGATTATTAGGTTGAGTCGTTGCCTGGCTCTGCGGATGGTTTGCGTGATTGTGGGATGTGGGTTGAGCGTGTGGGAGAGTTGGATGCCGAGGTAGGTAATGCGTTGTGTTTCTGTGATGTTTTGTTCCCAGAGGTTGGTAGAGAGTCTTGTGTCGCGGAAGCGGTGGGTTCTCGGGTGTCGGAAGCCGATGAGTTGAGACTTTGCGGATTCGGCTTGACGCGCCACTTTCTCATTCACTTCTCCAGCTTGTTGCTGGCGTCTTGGAGTGTAGCTATGGCTTGTGTAGGTTGGCGGTGGGAGGTCCAGATGACCGTGTCGTCGGCGTACTGTTGAATGTGGCATGCTGTCTGTGTAGAGATGGAGAGGTTGAGGATGACATGCTGCGTGGAGGTTGATTTGGTGAAGCCGTACTGGTGGGGTGGGATGATGTTGTTGGACGTGCAGTGGTCATTAATTCTTTTATGGAGGAGTTTTTCGAGTAGCTTTCCTATGACAGGGAGGAGTGAGATGGGGCGGTAGGAGCCTGGAAAGGTTGGGTCTTTCCCTGGTTTGGTGAACATGAGCACCATGGCTGCTTTCCATTGTTGTGGGAAGTGTCCGTGGGTAAGGCAGGCGTTGTAGATTTCCCGCAGCCATTCAATTGCAGATTCCGGGAGCTTGCGGATTAGGACCCAGGTGATGCCGTCCTTGCCTGGTGCCGTGTTCTTGTTTTGGCTGGCAATGGTCTCCGCGATCTCTTCGGCGGTGATGGTGGGCGGTAGTCTGGGAGCTGTAGATTGGTGACTTCGTCCGTGACGGCCTCATGGAAGGGCTTGTCAAACAGCTGATCTTTCAGCAGGGTGTTGGCGAAGACCTCCGACTTCTCCTCGTCCGTCAGCGGTTGCGTGTCCGTTTGCAGTGGGTATTTAGGCGGGGGTTTCCTGCCGGTGAGACGGTTTAATAGAGACCAGAATTTTCTGCCATCCCTGTAATCCAGCGTCGCCGTGACGTTCCTCTCTCGATGCTGTTTCCAGGTGGTGCGGATGACCGGATCGTTCGTCCGCTTCAGTGTACGGTAGAGCCTCCTCTTCTCCCGAACCATGTGCATGATGTCGGGTGGTAGCCCTGGAGGTCGCGGCGTGCAGATCCTGGCGGGCACGTTGTCTTTGATGGCCGCTTCAATGACGGTGGTGAGTTCAGAGGCTCGGTGTTCCAGCTATTGGGCGTTGGTGATGGGATCTGGGCGGCGATCAGTAGCTCGCTGCACCTGAGCGACGAGGTCCTCCCATTTGGCATGGCTCCAGGCTCGCATCCTGCGAGCCTCGGGCAGCGGAAACTGCGGTAGTGCGGCTAGTCCGACGACCGGGAGATGGTCGCTTGCTACGGGGGCTCCGATGACGGCGTCTGGGAGAAGATCGTCAACCAGGTGTCGTGTCCCGGGATGGAATATCTCTGGACACTGTCGAATAATTTGTTGTATTGTCGATGTGGAGTCCTAGTGGGTTTTTATGGAAGAGACTAGATTAAAATCAGTGTATTAATGTATTTATTTAACACTTAGATGCAGGTGATTCTTAATCTAGCTTCCAGTTGCTTCAAGCATAGGTTGCTGGTCAAGAGTAGAGTCAAACTAGAACTAACTTAAAATAACATAAGTGTTGTCTTGTATGTAAGAAGAAGTACTGAATACGAAATAATATTCTAAAGGTAGGGGCTATTTCGCCATGTGGGGGTGTACGTCATAGGCGCCGGCGGAGATTTGTTTATGTCTTCCGCTGTACGTCATAGGCGCCGGCGGGGGTTTGTTTATGTCTCCCGCTGTCGATAAGGTTTAAGGGGTGATAAATCTTACAACTGTTTGAAGAGGTTAATTTTGGGCGGCATAGTTTTTATGGTTAGCTGCCAGATTTTCACATAATGCCCCTTTCAAGCGGGTGACACAAATGGGTCGTAAAACTAACAAAATATGAGAAACAGATCGTTTCTCTAA